GAAGATACCAAACATTCCCAAATAGTAGACAGCAGATTAATTTTAAGCTCTAAATAAAAATCATGAGATTTTCAAGTATTTATATATAGATCTTTAAAAATATTAATATTAATATTTATTAATAGCATTATAATTAATAGCAAAATATAAAATCAGTAAAATCTTGTGCATAAAACGACATAATTATTTCTCCATACATTTTTTAATTTAACGAACGTGTTTAATACGTCAATATAGGCCCATTGTAATAACAAAACTTGATAAAGATTTGATTTGAGCTTCACTTGATAAGATTCTTAAATCTTAGTATCACAGCGTATGTATTTTGCTTGATATTATAATGCGCATTACTCGACACATGAAATTCTTAGTCTTACATATTGTAGTTTAGAACTGATTTTCTATGGAGTTAAGATTTCCCATTTATGTCTTTTCCAGTTTCTCCAAAATCAAAAAGAAATTTAAATAAATTCTACATCTAAATTTGCCCAAAAAAATTATTTTGTCTTTTGATAGATTTGTAACGCTCAACATTTATCATTCTTTTTATTACATAATACAATATCTAAAAAATTACTCCACTGATCTACTCTTACTTGAATGTCCCCATTATCAGATCTATTACAGATATTTGAATTATCGTGTAGATTGAACGAAGCTTTGTTGTAAAAAAAGATGTCGTGCGAAGCGTAGCAAAATCTTGCCCTTTAACGTAACTAAGTTGCATTTTCTTCTCCTCTTCGTACGTCTGTAGTATTTTGTTATTTTTTGCTTGTAACATTTCCAACAAGTTGCGAGGACATTGTGGCACAAGTAGCCTGAACGGTAAAAACCGACTTACACTTATGATGTATCACTTTCCTATTTTAATAGGTAAAATCGCGCGGTCGTCTTAAAACTCTCCACTTCAACGCGAACATTGACGTCGCGATATCCGATAAACAATTTTGATAGGTAAAAAGTATCAACAATTTATAGAATGCCTTAAAAGTAGCAAAATTGCTTACGCAAAAGAGTGCATTTCACGATTATCTACGCAATTGGCATTCCACGCAACCGCCTCATTGTCGCATACATTGATAAAGAAAAGATCGTTTACTGTATTTACATTATCGAGATATAAAAATACTAACGAGAAACGTATCTATATAGACGAAGTCCTTCACATGCATTTTCTCACTTTCTTAGAAATTAATTCATAGTCAAGTTTGGCAGTAATATTGTCCCTAGCTATTTGCATTCTTATTGTTGTTGACAGTATTTTTATCATGTTTTTATTATGTTCAGCTTCTGACAAAGACATTCTTACGGGACGCACTGCGTGCTCATCAATAGTTTCTTATTTCAGTTTGTTAATTCCAAACTGTGCTGCGATCACCGCGTGCTAAAATCTTTATTAGCATGGAAGATTTCTTCAATTTTTCCTTTTTTCTCATATCTTCACCACGGATGTAAGAACAAATGCCCTCGTTACAACTATCGTTCAGCATTATTGGAAATACCGATCACTCGCAAAAACATGCAATTGGATGCAAGATTTGTATTTTCTCGCTGAACCAGATCTTTCACATATTTATAAAATTTGTTATGCCCCTATACAAAATAAAGATTCAAAATAAAGATTGCTTCATTAATTAAATCTAAATAGATATGAAAATAAAAAGTTATGACAAGAACACAGTTGATGACTATCCTGATTAATATTTATAAATTCACTCACATAAAGTTTCTTTAATTCTTTAGCCACGATATACTTTAAATAAAAAAATCATCAGAAAAGTGAGTGTAGAATAACAATTGCAAGACAGTCACTGAGTACTTCAAGTGTCTCATGCACAAACACTAGCTTTTATAAATTATTTATGCTTAATTAAAGCTTTTATAATTATTTATATTAAATTAAACTAATATAATCTTACATAAGTAAATTGATATTTTATATTTCTAAGTAGCATATTCAGTTTTAAATAAAGGCTACATTATAGAATTGAAATCAATAAATGTAATTTGAAGTATAAACTAAATCTTTATAAACTGATAATTTGCTCAATAACCGAAAAAATTCAAAAAAGGGGCACATATATATGTGTTTGTAACAAAAGTTTGCACTAAAGGATTAAAAGGTTCAACTAAATAAAAAATAAAATAACATTAATTTTTTAATAAACTAGAAAATATGAAGAAATAAAAAAATTAAAAAATTCAGCGAGATGTCTCCTCATTGCATGCTATTAACGCTCGTCGCACTTCCCGAAACAAAGAAATGTTTCGACAACCACACGGGAACCATTAGTGTCGGTCCACAATAAATATTTAATCTTTAAGCCTTAAGAAATTGACCAATCATAGTTGAGTATTCTTTTCATATTCGATTATAATTGGTCAATTTCCTACTTCTTAAAGCTTAAATCACCTATTGTGGACCGACACTTAAATATCCTAACTTTAAGAAGGATAATAAAAATAATAATACTCGACACATTTGTCGCAACAACATTCTGTAGCCTATTTTGCAAAAACGACTCTTAATATCCACGCGTGTACGCAACACGCGTATGCGTAACGCGTCTGTTGAGTGTGTATATATGTAGATAAGAATATTCAAATATGCACAAGTATGTATATACTCTCGCATTTCTAGAAATATAATAAATTTTATAAATGTATATCGTATATATTCGCCTCTCTGTGTACAGTTTGTCACTAGCACGATTATACAGAGCCCAAATGGGTTTACCGCGCGTATATGAAACTGCATTATCGTTTTACGTAAAATACGTATATGTGTGTATATACGTGGAAGAGAGAATGGCGTAAAACATGTATTTGGCGTGTCGTCGAGAATGCACATTTCATTAACACTTTGTCTCCAATGTCGCTCTTCTAATTTTGTCAGAGCATTCAGCATCCAGTTTCTCCTTAACTTCTGAATAACTACTTCCCGAACCTTCGGCCGACGATGTATGTGACGTGTGAGGTCCAACTTCTTCTAGGGATAATATCTCTGTGCCAGTGGGCGAGTAACTTACAGTAGTCGCTTCACTTGTTGGCGATGTTACGCAGCTGTCACCCACGCTCCTACTACGCAGAGTATATCGGGTCTTTTGGAACTGTTGTATGTTCAGAGACAAGCTGGCCTGCATCGACGTTTTTTCCGAATCCTTCGAAAGTTGTTGTTCGGTTTGTATATCGATGTGAGATGGACTTCTTGAACGTGGAACATGAAGCGGACTCTCTGGATCTGTCATTCGATCAGACGATAAAATTTTTGAACTCGCGGCTAATCTGCTTGCGCAAGGAGAATACTTTGGCAAATTTATCGCGATTTTGTCCGAACCCACTGACAAAGACGATCGCCCGAGTTTTTTCAGTGGACTGCAAGCAGGTTTCTTCTTTTTCAATTGCTTGGCGTCATTGACGTAGGAATCAAAGTTCTCGATAGAGTCGTTCTTCTGTTCCTTGCATTTATCGAGACTTTTCCTCATTTTACTACATGTGCAATTCCAAGGAAACTTTTTCGTGAGTTCTGTAGTTTTTGTGTGTGCCGCATCGGGTCTTTTAAACTTGGTAATGTTGTCCACAATGGAGAGCTTATTGTAACGTTGCCTACTGTCTTTATTAGTGCTATTTGAGTCCAACGCTGACTCTATGCAATTGTACTTGAATTGAGATCCAGGAGACTTTTTCTCCACTATAGATTGTGTAAGAGTACCTCTACAATCAGTGATTTCCTTTTTACATCATCGGAGACATTGGAAAATGATGCGGCCGATTTCTCTTCTATTGCACATTGTCGACAATCTTCCACCAATATATCGATTAAAGTTGTATGATTTTTTTTGCTGTCTGTCTTTTTCTGATTCTGGCCAAATGAATTTTTTAAGCTTCTATGAACAATATTTTTTTGACCATGAGCAAAAGGATTTTTCAAATTCTTTGGTAAATAAGTATGTTTCTTAGCGACTTTTCCAGTATGATTTGACTGAAAGTTATGACAATCAGTCATTTTTTCGGTGACGACGATTTTACTCTGTCCTTTGTCTTTTGTGCATGTAGAAGAATCTTTCTGTTTAAAGTTCTTACTTTCCGATCTCACGCTGGATTTTTTCGAATTATCTTCAGCATTTGGATATTCATCTTTGGAACGCGTTTTCTTGAGTGACTCTGAATAATAAGTTTCCTGATTTATAGTCTGTTGCTGGTCACAAAAGAAGAATACATCATCTACAGAGGCGAAAGATGATTCTTCGTCACAGGGAAGGACAGGTGTCTTCTCCCCTGTGGGAGGCGACTGCTAGACAAGCTTTTCTGTTGGAGAACTCGTCGAAATGGAACTGACAGTATTAGAGTTGTTGGAAACGGTACGTCCTTGGCTGCTTACATGCATATGGCCCCCTCCCTGTCCCCCCTGACTCTGGGAGAGGCTGAGTCGCCGTCAGTTTATCAATTCCACGCTTACAAATTGTTTCAGTCGTTCGAGATATTGATTGTATAACTCTACATCATTGTGGCCTGCACCCTGAAAATATCCAATATTAATATTATCACATTTGTAACATGCATTTGAGCGATCAGAATATTTATTCATTCTGCTATTATGCATTATTATATTTTCAAATATAGCAATCTTTATAGAAAATACAGACAAAGCGCGAACGCCAAAAAATTTAATATAAGCAAAAGACTTATTAAATTACAAAATATTAAGTAATTTTTTATAATAAATTATTTTAATACCTCAACCCATAATGGTTCCACTGCCCGTGGACATCTTTCGTAAATCGCCAGACCATGACTAAAATTTATAACTTCGTCTTCGGTGCCGTGAATAACCAGAACAGGAGATGTTACCTTGGGTACTTTATCTATACTGCAAAGAAATAACAAAAATATTCAAATGTATATTTGTTGCCAATAACGGCATAATATCATTTTTATATTAAATATTTTTTGAAAAATATTGATTTAAAATCTAAATAAAAATGCAATTTTAAATAAAATCTTTTTATTCGAAATCATGTGTATTGTCTTTATTGATTCCCAATCAAGAGTTACAAGACTTCATGTTCACTTATATTGATTTCCTTCATTATTCAGAGTTATATTTCTTTGTTAAATCACAGACCTTTTGTATAGGAACATCTTTAGCATTGCGTAAAATGAGATTCATTCATGGAAAAACAAGGAAAGGATAAGCTAAAAGTTTTATTTAGAAAAATTAATTATTATATTATTACGATATAAATTTTTAAAAAATCTAAATTTTATAAATATAATTAATATAAATTTTCGTATTATTTATTTTCGATCTTACTTATAATTTCTTTTATCTTTTTCTCTCGACATTAATCTCCAATTATTTCAATTTAAAATGATTTTGCGTAAAAAGATATTTTTCTTTTGCGCATGTATAGTCACGTGATAGACAAAAAAAATAATAAAAGAATAGAACTATAAGAGAAGTGATAAAGTACAGAAAGATATCGTAATAAACAATATGGAGATATTATATTTAAAATTTTAAGTTCACCTCAATTTAATAAAATATTCATAATTCATTCAAATTTTATGAATATTATCTTGTATATTTATTGCCTTATAGCAATAAATATCTGTATTTAAATTAATCCATTTTTTTTTTATTTCTTTTTCAACTCATCTTATATATACATATATGAATATAAATTCTGACAAGATTACAAAGCAATGATTGATTGGTGAAACTACTAATACATTCAAAGATTGACAATTCACAAATTGGCAATTGTGTATTTTTGCTCAATAACAATATAACAATGTAAATTATATGTATTATTGCATGTAGATCTCATAAAATCCGTCTACACAAAAATCAATTAGAGAGATGCGTTACAACATAAATCATGCAACACGTAGGTTTCATGAATATATGTCCACACGACACAAGCATATATTTGTTCAACTGTACACTTGTGTAGCTTCTTAGCGAGATATCGCCGATTTTATCTTTTTTAGCAAACATCATTCAATAACCGAAATAGGAAATATATTATCCAGAATTGCAAAATTGACTACATTAAAGAATAATAAATTATAAAATAAAAACCGCTATTCCAATATCAATGATCTTTATAAGTGTACTTTAAGTGATTGACTTATCGCGTGAAACTGACAGTTTACTTTTTTATGACTACATCATCATTTTTAAATATCCTCTATATTTAATAAGTTACAATATGGTGTTTTATTTCTAGTTTTATTTCTATAGCGCAGATCTTTAAAGATAGGCTTTTTATTTATTTCACTCGTCTTTGTACACGTCAAAGTGTTTTTTAAAAGTCAAAAATACTTTGAGGCCATTAAGGGTTAATAAGAGTTAAATGTCTGGCGTGCGATGCACGTGCACGGCCATACGTACATCCGAGAGAGAAAGAAAACTTTGACGATGGATCCATGTGCGCGCTGCGTGTGTATGTGTCCATCCATCCCATCCCATCCCATCCCATCCCATCCCATCCCATCCCGTCTCGTCTCGTCTCGTCTCGTCTCGTCCGATGAAACATGGTTCGCAATCATCTTGCTTGCAGCCGATATATCTTTAGCTGTCAAAGGATCGGATACTTTTGGGGAAGAGGAAGATCGATGCCGGCGGTGGTCGAAGCTGGCGGTGAAGCTTACCTGGTGAAGGCATCGAAGAACCAAGTCCTTTTGGTTTTCGGGAAAGCGACCCGCATCCCGGACATGAGCGGCGAGTGCAGCACCACCGCGCCGACCTCGTATCTCGCGGCAAGATCGACCGTGGGCACAGTGCCGATGCTTTGGCCGTAGAGTATTATGTTCTCCGGACTGATGCCGTAACGCGTACGCAGCGCGTGCCACGCGGCGTCGATGTCCGCGTAGAGGTTCTTCTCGGACGGCTTGCCACCCGACACCCCGTAGCCCGAGTAATCGTAGCTGAATATGTTGCAGTTTATCCGCGAGCCCAGTCCCAGGTAGAAGCTCGACATCTGACCGAGATCGACGGCATTGCCGTGGGAAAAGAGGATGGTGAACCGCGCGGTCGCCGAGCACCGTACGAACAGGCACGCGATGCGATTGCCGCGTGACGTCCTCGCGTAGAAACCCTCCACCGACTCCTTCTCGCGCTCGGTGTACTGCCATTCGGCGCGCTCCGACAGGGAAATGGAGAACTTGGAGCCTTCGTCCTCGACGAACGTGTACGTGGGCTCGGGTGGCAGAAAGGCCAACTTGTCGGCGATTCTGGACGGGCAGGGCGGACAACAGAACAGGCAACACAGTTCACTCAGACTTAACCCGTTCATCGTGTAGCACCGGACACGGCCTCGCGCCACACCGTCCGAGGACACGCACGAAACACCGTCTCTCTCTCTATCTTTCTCTCTCTCTCTCTCTCTCTCTCTCTCTCTCTCTCTCTCTCTCTCTCTCTATTATCACGTCTCCCTCTGGTGAAGCTTCGGCATGGGAGCTGTCCGACGATCGGGCTCAACTGGATAAGAATGGAGTCGAGAACGGGAGATGCCGAGAATTATCCCGAGAGATACCACCGCGAGATACGCCGTGGTGGATACAGCGAGATACACCGAGACCGCGATTTTTCACCACCCTTTTAATGAATCACCCGCGCGGCGTCATTTGTTATCGGTTTCCTATGAGAGTCGCTCACAATGATTCAGCCATGACGGCTCGCGAACGGACGATTTCTCTCTCCCACCTTTCCTTCGTTCTTTCTTTCTCCTTCTCTTTTTCAGCAAAGGCCGCCTCCCCACTCACCCTGCGTTGCGTACTTTCATTGTACAAGGTGAGACAAAGCGCGAGACAGAGACGGAAGTCACACACAGTTACCGCTTTGCTGGCGTCACATTCTCACTCGGCAGCTCGGTGTGAAGGCTCAAAGCCTCACTGATGGTCGTTGGTTGTCAGACGATGAGACTCGATCAACTCCGATCAACTCCGATCTGTTCCGATACGCGTTTTCAACTTTTTTAGTCGCGTTTGCATTACGCGACATGGATGATTCACCTCATGTCCAATATCCGACCTATATATACATATAGTGATCGAATATAAGAGTGCTACTTTCTTCTAGGATGCATTCCGAAATGTATGTTTGTACAGTACTGAAAATCCATAGTTAACGTCACGTACGTTATAGATTTTCAGTCAATATATCTCAAAATTCATTCCTAGTGTAGCAGGTCATCTGCACTTGCTCTGAGCTTCCCCTTCTCTTCAAAAGATTGATTGACAAACCGACTGGAGGGAAAGGCATTTTTCTTTAAAAAAAATTCGATGGCATTATGTTTTTGCCAAATACAGTCTTATCCTTTGTCTAAAAATTTATTTGGATTGATTTATTTAGATAAATTTGTAGAATTAATAATTTAATATCATTTGAGTTTATTTTTTTCATATTTTTCATACATGCTGCAATATTTGTTGACATATTTGTCATATCAGAAAACATTCGATATAACTTTTATATATAATTATATATTCGTCATTCATCTTATAAAATCTTATAAAAATGGAGAGTAATGCATGTCCAGAAATTTTGTTCGAAAATTACAACTAAAAAATCCTCGTTCCAATACTATTCTACATTTCCTTATCCTATTCCTTTGCTTGTATCCGATATGTGATACTGTGCATTTCACATAACATATTATACATAAGTAAGATACATAAGTGAGAGTTCCTCTGTTATATAAAATTAAAAAAATAAATTATTCGCATTTTATTTTCATATACAAGTTTATACGCAAAGAATAACTTTTTAAAAATTTTGTTTTATATTTGTCTATCACTGTATCTATTTGTATATCACTGTATTTTATCTACTTGAACGATGCTCGATTTATCAAAAGAGAACATTATTCTTGTATTTTACCCTCTAAAATTATTTATAGTATCAAGAATTATATATACCCAATAACACACCATTAGTTACAACATCTGAAAGACTGTTAGTTGAGTCAGCTGGAACATATGGATCGCAATGAAAAGTCAAAACTGGATGATGTCCCAAAGTATTTGAATGATTATGTATTGAACTATCTGCTTTGTGTATCCTTGAAAAGTTAAAAATGATAAAATTATTAATAAATATTTAAAAACTATTTTATACTAAAATATTTATAAGTTCAACAAAACATAAAATATTGCTATGACAAAAAAATATAAAATAACATATATAAAGTTACATTATTTTCTTATAGTTTCTCTATAAATTAAAAGGATATAAGTTTTTATTTAAAAAATATATATTAAACAGAAATATTAAACATTATTGGGATCGTAACTTTTTTACTTTACGTGACTATTCTAGATTGCCGAATTATCTAACCTATATATATATTTTTCATTTTCATAAGTTTTAATTTAAATAAATACCTTTTATGAAATGCAGCTTCTTGACTTTCTATACCTAGAAAATTCAGAACTTGTTGTTTTGTTGCTAATAAACTTAGCATCTTTTGTATATATAATTCCAAAGCAGCTCGTCGTTGTTCCAATACTTTTGGTTGCGAATTTCTCACTCTTTTTGGAGGAAATGGTGCAATATCCGAATTATCCTTTTTCAACTAGAAAAAATAAAAATTTTCTTGTATAATACATGTATTATACATTGTTATACATTGTATTATACATTGTTACTAAATAAGATATTTCAAGGTTATGATAAAAATATCCTAAAGAATTAAAAAGTATTATATTAATATCAATTTATAAAATAAATATAATAATTAGAATCTGCCATCATATTTTATTAGCAGAATCTATTATATTTCTACTGACAATCTGCTAACAAAATCTATAGCGAACATTTTGTAGAATTTGTTCTCAACAGATTTGAGACATGACAAAAGACATATGTCACAATAATATGCTAAAAATTCTTCTGGGACACGGATCTCACACAAAGAAAATTGATTATTCAAAACATTTTCATACTCTACGATGTAATGCACTAAATTCACTGTATCTTCTCTCGATGAAATGTCGAGTGCCAGTCTTTGATTCCAAAATTTCAATACAGTAAACATAATAAGGTTTTCCATGTGACACATCAGCTAAACGATAACCGCTGATGAAAGCTTCATACATTGCATCGCTAGCAAATTTCAGAAATAATGTTTAATATCAAACATTCTTGTAGAAAGTTCACTGTATACAAGTTTGAAAGAAATCATAAGATAATTCCGACTTGCTCCGAATAGAAATTGATCTTGGTGACCTCACGTATTGAAAATCCGAGGCTCCGGACGCAAGGCTACCAACGTTAAAAAATGTAATAATTTTCAGTTTGTATACACATCATGCCTGTTGTATGTGCGCCAATACTGTATACAATATTATATACAATGCTATATACAATAATATATTATTTGCACGTATGTCACAATGATAAAAATTTGTAACCTTTGCATATTTTTGTACATTCAGTTTCGCTGTTTTGACAATGTATTATACGAATGTTGTATCATTATGGTATAAATTTGTATCATATGGTATCATATGATATAATAGTTGCTAACTATAAGTGCCATTCTACAATAAGTCATAAGTGAGATAGATCATAAGTCAGAAAATAAGAATTGACCAATCGTAGTCAAGTATTCTTATTATATTCAATCTGTGATTGGTCAATTCTTCTAGCTTCTGACTTATGATCTGATACTTATAGCTTATTATAGAATGGCCTTAATAGTCGGGACTATACAAATCACGTGACCATTACGACCTAAATTCAAGTGAACGCAATGTCAACGCAAACGGTGAATGTGACAATTAATTCAACTGCGTGTTTAAATTTGCCTACGATGGAAATTCAAAAGAATCCGCTGATTCTACAATTGCCTTGTCATTCATTCGTCATAATTAGATGTTCATTGGCTCAAAAGTAAGTGATATGCTCGTAATGATAAATAGGCGGAGTTATATAAATATATACATATATTTAAACGGAGTGCCAACATTAATTTTAATATTAATTCGTACAACATTAAATCTCTACTTGACATATTTTTATGTTAAATTTAACTAATATACTTTCTATTTCGATCACATATCTTTAAGACGGTCGCCCATCATTTTGATCAATATCAGATCAGTAATGTTTATATGGCACATTCTTTACTGAATACGCTTACTCTCTTACCAGCTTTCCTCCATCAAATAAATAACATAAATGTCGTACGCGAATTTTATCGGCTTGTTCAGCCAATTGCCGGTCCCGTCTTCCGGATTTTAAATAAACGTCAATAGGTCGTAATAAAATCATAAATAACGTGACTATCTTTACGCTGTGCAAAAGTGCATGGTAACTTTCATAGTTTTAAATATGAATCATATATAAGTTGATGGATATAGCTAGATTTATACAGAAATCGGCTCGCGTGCATTCGGCCGTTCGACCTTCCTTGTCACACTCGATTATCGAAAGCAATAAACGACCATCGTAATAAACGTGAATTCCTCGCCCACAAACTCGCGTTTGTGGCTTGTGGCCGTAATTTAATACGATGAAACGGCGTATTGTCTATGTGTCGATCGAAGAGCGTGTCGAAATATCCGTCGTGCCTCTGCTAGAACTTCATGATAGATGTTCATTATAAATTTCAAATCCAGACCTACAGGTGTCCATACACACTGTCTGTAGAAATAGCACGTTCCGATTTTAAAATCTTATAAAAAACGAGATATATTGGTTGTTAATTAAAGCTTGAAATCTCTTAGAGATCTAAAGTTACGAAATTACGAGTTACGAATAAAGAAAGTCTATAAAACTATAAAATTGTTTGTTTATATACTAAATTGTTGATTATTTTTTATTAAAACTAATGCGCAAAAACGCATCGTGTTAAATCATAAAATTTTTACGATTTTTATTTTATTATCGACTATAAAAGAGAATACATTTTATATCTCAAGAAATTATGTGAAAGAGATTGTGAATATGTTATAATACCGTTTATTATCTTTATCGTGTGATTTATGGTTATTCTTTAAAATTTTATTTCCATATGTATCAATATACAAGTAATGATAACATTACTTATAGGCCTCATGAACGTTTCAAAGTTATAGCTTCAACAATCAAATTATTAATCATATAATTTTTTTTATCTGAATGTGCCATTGTCATAATATTTGTGAGACTTTCAATGACATTAGAATTTCCCAGAATTGCCAATTTGATTCTCAATAAACGGCAACATAGCCGACATCTTTGCAAGTAAATTTTACGTAATACAAGGTATACGTGCGTCATTTTTAATTTTATATGTACATATAGTTGTACATGAAAAGCATATTTTTCTCGAACTTTTCTCTCTTTGCCCCAGTGACAAAAATTTAAACATTTAAACATTTCGTTTAATTGATATTTTTTTTAAATAATAAGCGTTATATATTTCGCATATAACACAGAAAAGAAAATTATTTTTTATATTCTTTACTCATAAAGAAAAATTCTCACACTTTTTTCAATAAGTACGATATTTTTATTATTACTCTTTTATTGTACTAGTATCATATTTTTATATACTTTTTATCGTTACACATTTGTGCTGATTGGGTACATTCCTGATAAAGAAATTTTATCATGCATATTAATATAAACGCCCATTAAATCAAATCTAATAACGTGCAAATATTTATTATTGTGAAAGATTTATCGCACAGATGCGATAACTCTGTCCAGATCTGCATCGCCGATAATTGGTGCGAACAATTCCTCGGTCAATTCTCGAGAACAGCAACCGGTGAGAATAGGTAAGACGAATAAAATTTTCGCCAGTTTGTTCTCGCGATCGTCTTGAGGTTGAAGATGTCGTATTAGAGCTTCCACAGCATCATTTCTCGCTTGTGACATTACGTGAAAACTGTTGCTATTATCGGCAATTTCTGTAATTTACAATGACATCGCGTTACAATGACACTCGCACTTTTACCGTTAAGAAAATTTAACGCACGCGTTATCAAGAAGTTACACGGTTCTTGCGTAAATATGTACCAATGTGTCTATTTAACTTTCATTATTTACCGGGACGACACAGCGCAAATGTGTCTAAAATGCATAATTCGACATCGTCGAGTTGCAGTTTTGCGATTGCGATACGCGTTGCGATTATGCAGGCTGAAGCACCATCGTTATTTGTTGCACCTTGTCCTCGTACGTTCATTAAATCGACCGGCCATGTAGCTGCGCGTAAAACAAAAAGAGCAGACCATCCACGACGAAGAATCTTATTTTGTTCGTCTACATCCAGCATTGAAAAATTTTGATGACGACGTGCGCTCCGAATAGCAGCCAGGAATATTTGTGCGGATATCTCGTATTGTATAGCCGTGCCTGTACGCAATATAAAATTGTATTATCACAGGAAGCATACACGCAATAATTCCAATATTTTACACCGTAAATCAAAATTTTGTTTTAAAACTTGATTTGAAAAAAAAAAAAATTAGATTTACCTCTTTTGTATTTTATTAATAATACAACAATGATCTTTCTCTACATTTTATGTAAATTTTGTCGAGAGTCGTACGATTTCAAGGGAAAAAAATTACCGAACAATGTAATCCTTGTCGACTATAATTTAATATTTCAAAAAAGAAAATTACCGGGCGATATTATCCTGGTCGGCTGCGTATGACGCGACATGACAGGGAAGAAAATATTTTCTCTGGTTTCAGACTCGCGTAACGTCTTCATCATTGAAATATTGTTTAATGCAGGATTCTTGAAAGGCAGATATAGTCCAGAGCTATTGAAACGTGCACAAAAAGTTGTCGATGAATCAACTCTAGGCTTCCAAGTGACATTAGAATTATTCGAATTTGAGAGGGCATTGCTCCGAGCACGCGGCCCTCGTTCTTCTTGCACCGCTGCGAAAATATTTAAAAAATTCAACAGTACTTTGTAAGAAATATTACTTTTGTTTGTATACTAACAATTTTTATAATTTATTGGTTTCGAAAAAAGTGCAAAATAAATGTCTTTGAAAGATAAGCAATTATTTGTACAGTAATTAAGCGACTGTTAAGAAACTAGAAATAAATTTATATAAAATTTAAATACATTTCGCTTTGATTAGTTAATTCAAATTTTACATTTTTTATAAAGTTATATGACTTTCTAGACTTTACATGTTTGTATTTTGTTACGTGATTTTATTTTATATTTACACTTTTATTCGATCAATATGAAAATGTGTAACATGTATATTGTTAAATAATTCCAGTGGGGTAGTTTGAGTTCTTCAATCATAAAGTAAGCTTGTGTATTTAAGATCGGAGTTGACACTCGATGTTGTTTCATGTGACACGTTATGGCAACGGCTATCATCTCACTAAATTATTTACAAGATTATCTGTGAAAGGTAGCTGTCACAGTATGTTCATTGTGTATAACAAATTTAATTTTTTCCAATTTTCCCTAAAATTCTCAGACTTTTTATTTATAGAATATTATTTAATTAAATATTACAATAATTATTTTCAGCTTTTAATTAAACTATATCTTGTGCGAAGTAAAAAAATATAAGACAAACATTAGATTGACATTAATTGTTCAGATTACAAGTCTGCTGTCAATTAACTTTTCTACATAGCATTATGGGTGACGGCACGTGTCTAACATACGCCATTGTTTGCATCTCGTTGAGTTCGTTAGCACCTGCTCAATCTCTTTATGTATACTAGGTGACGGTAATTTCATATTTAATCTATGATTTTATAAAAAATGTTGTATATATTTAATTTAATATTATTTCGAACAAAAATATGAAATGACAAAGACTAGACTGATTTAATTAAAAATAAGTTGTTGAAAATAAGTAATAAATTTTTGTTAAATTGTTATAATAATAAGATAAGTTGTTATAATAAATTTTTAAATAAAAAAAGATGTATTAATAGCAAATTTATTTATGCAAACAATTCATAATATATCATAGTTTTTTACGCAAAAATAAAATATTACAATAGTTATATAGTTAAATAGTTAGCATTCTTTATATCAGTTTTAAAATAAAAATTCCATTTATTATTTATACAAATATTAATATTAAGAAACTGTTTGAAAATATTTTAAATATTTTACTTACCTGCTGTATTCATGCCAACAGAGAAACATTTCTTTAAACGGCAATGTGGACACCAATTTCGTCTGGCTTTGTCAACGGTGCAAGACCCATCACTATCTGAAGAGTTATTAATATATTGTGATATTTAGAGCATGTATATTTTTCCTAGTACCATTCTTCTGATATTAAATCCTATAACATTCTATATATTTTGCTATTTCTGATAAAACAGTACAAACTTGTGCAAGTGAACAAAGCGCCGCGACGCACGGATCTCTTGAAGAAACACGAACAACCGTCACAGCAATAAACACCATAATGTTTTCCATATGATCGATCGCCACATACTTTGCAGGAAACTGGTGTCGGCAGAGTTCTTCCTATCGCAAGAAATGTTATCAGCTAAGAATTTTACATCGAGGCTAGTTTTTACGGTTACACTTTTATTTACAATTTATTACAAGAAAACAGTTATTCATATTACATACACTCGTCCTATTAAAATGTAAAGTATTATTTTTATTTATTGCGATTGAAAAAGCAAAAACAGATATTTACCCATTATTTATTTTCCTATCTCACTGCGATAAGTGTTTAAGATTACGAAACGCAAATCTGGAGTGATTTCAAGTCGCGCGATAATGTCCGATGATCGGAATGATTCTGTCCGACCGAGTTCGCGAACAAAGACAAACTCTATCACGACGCGAAACGCACCCCTGTTCGAGGGAGGTTGAACTTGATGGTGGTGGAAATGGATGGAGGTAAGTTGGATTTGTCCGACGTGTCACTTCAAACGTCAAAACGCGGAAGGATAATATTTGCGGTAGGTTGATCGAACGTGACACTATTGTTCGATCGTGAAATTATTCCAGAGTAAAGACAGTCATATTCAGTTCTTCGGTACAATGAAAAAAAATAAAAAAATAAAAAGCATTTCAAATTTATTTGCAAGAAAGAAAGCGCCACGACATTCGATATCTTAGGAAATTTTATAAAAACAAAATTTTTATAAATTTTTTATTAAAAAAGACTTTATTTCTTTGATTTACAATATCATTTGATGCTTGGAAAATACATAAAAATACACTAAATAAACTTCACAGTTCAATCTTTTATTTCTGCATATATTATAATAACTATTTTAATTTTCACTCAACAAAAATTTTTCTTTTATTTATCGGCAATTAAAAAGAGATGTAGCAAAACATCTGATTTCACAAATATCATGTGCGTTATTATATAAAGTAATTTACAGCAATATCAATTATTATGAAATTATAACAGTAATATATTGCTTTAATAATTTATTTGTCCATATACAAAAATTTAAGAGGTAAATCCAAATTATTCTACCATGTCGCTATTATAGAATTTTAATCAACTAAAGATGTGCGATGTGATTATATTTTATATTTTATTTAGCATTAAGTCTTTATTACATTATTTCGAATAGGATCTTTTTTTCGAAAAAAAAAACGCAACTTTTCCGTTGTCTTATCTGAGTAAAATTATTTATTGCGCATCGCAAAGTATTACAGAGGAACTATACACAAAGATTCATTCTTAATTAATGTAACTAAATATGTTCGTCAAGAAACCGTGATAGCGGTTTCGAGTCAATAAATTATAAGAATGGCTCATCAGGCTTCTTTTACTTATCTTTCAAAGTGAATCATTATTGTATTCGTGCAAGGATTATCGTTACAAGTCTGATAATATTATCATATCTCGAAAAATCGACTTCATCTGCTGCAATTAAATAGTCACACATGTGCCAATTTTTATGATTACAAATTTAATGTTTGCTAATTAATTAAGCGAGTACAATAAATAGTAAAGTTTTTTTAGCCATTTATGAAAAACAATTCAAGCAGAATGATTTAATACATATTTCAAACAATCATGAAAAGTTTTAAGCAAAATATTAATCTTGATCCGATAGTAAAGCGATAAAGTCGTCGAGATAAAAAAAAAGTCTATCTATTCCTAATATTGCAATAGTTTACCATATAATTATTTACAATTAAGTACTCTGATTGCGCGTGCAGCACTGTGTGTAATAAAAAGAAATCGTATTGAAAAATCGGTGTAAGTATTAAAAATACTATTCTGGCATTTAAATAACAAAAATTATATTTTTAAATTTTTTAGAAAAATGGAGATGTTATTTTAGAAAATTGTATAGTAGCGTGATATTTCATTGTTTTTAAATACAAAAATCATATTCGTTTTATATATATATATATATATATATATATATATATAAAATGAATAAAAGTATATTTAAAGCGCAAAGAGATACTTGATAAAAATGATAAATTAAATTACCATCATTTTTATCAAGTATCTCTTTGCGATTTAAATATACTTTTCTGAAACCAGGAAGCACTTTCGCATTAATTATAACTTAATTATTTACATGTATCAAATATTCGAACGCAAAAAGCGCGTAGATAAATATGGAAATGTGCTGCGTCTCAAATTAACATTTTATAACTTTGTCCTATCTTCTCACAAATCCAATTACTATTGCTAAATTAGCAAAATGATTTTTAATACGCGTCGTCTTATAACCTTTTTATAATCCCTGTCACTGACTAGAGATCCAATTCTCCTCCTATATATCAACGACACGTCTAAAATCAAAGTTTCCGAGACACATTAATGAGATTTCGTTTCTTGTTAAATCATTTCATTAGATATCAAAGCGTTCGCGCATGGATTTCTATATCTATATAAGAAAATTATCTTATCAAAAACTTACGTACTTTCACGAGATATAGTATGTTTTCTTTTGTATTCATAATATTTCAGTTTCTATCACCAAAGAGCAAAATTTCTTCTTTGAATTTTAAAGCAATTTGCACGTCATTGACTAGTCCTATATCGTAGAAGAATTTTTCTTCCATTTGTCAAAAAAGTGTCTTAACTGTTAATTTCATTATTCTCTTTTGCTCTTTTTTTAATTGATCAAATTAATCAAGTTTCAATCACAACTTTTAATTCTAAATTCACTACTAGAAACTTCATAATATTTCTCGGTGAATTTTTTAATAGCTCACGTTGTGAAAATGTCTTTTTCATTTTTTAACGCGCCTGAATTTATTTTCAAGGCAATTCTAGCAAACAAACTTCAATTATTAAACAATTACGAGGACGCAAGTAATTTCGCCGCTGTAGTAACGTGATGTTGATGATGATAGGGCGCTTCCTGTGTACCATAATAATTTTGTTGCTGATGCTCGCTGGAAACGGCAAGTTGATGAGGATGTTGATAATAGGAAGAGTATGGTTGACCCACAACGCCATCGCAGCTCCGTGGTTCAGTTTTAACAGCAGGTACACTTCCTGTGGCCAGGAGAGAGGTGTGTCCGAGGTAAACTGGTCTATCGGTCGATGTCGATGAGCCCGATGATTTTGGCACCTCGATTTGATGCTGCTGCTGTTGCTGCTGCTGCTGCTGCTGTTGATTATTCTTTAAATCTATGGAAAAATATAATGTTAAAAATATTAAAAATAAATTATTATGTACGTATAAGTAAGATAAAGAAATCGAAAAAGGCCAAATGAATATTTAATAAATGCAAGAAGTTATTTTGATCAATATCCAATAATAATAATTAAAAATTAAAATGCACATTTTTGAAATTAAATTGATTATATAATTAAAATTGTTATCGTTTGTTTAATTAACTAATATACTAAAATTAATTAATCATATAAATCATAAATTTATTATACTTTAGAATTTTGTGTTTTTATATTTTATCTTTATTTAACGAAAAAAGTTTAAAATATAAAGACTCCTCAATTTTAAAAATCAGATAAGATAATAAAGGCTATAGGAGTCGAATACAGAAAATAGAGTGTAAAATAATTTTTGTCTTTAATCAGAACATCAACATCTTTGGAACTGTTGTAACAAGATCTTTCGGGATATCGTTCTTCCTCGATTACATTCTTTAAGATTATATTCATCATGTACGCTCCAATCATGTAACATCGATTACGGTAATTACGAGTATATGTACGGTACCCATTGAAGATGACCCGAAGGAGGGTCGAAAGACGTTTAGAATGATTTCTGATTAAAGACGTGTACAAAAATTATTTTGCACACTATTCTTTTCTGTGCTCGACTCCTTATTATCTTATCTTATTTTTATCTTTATTTTGTGTATTTATCGTTAAACAAAAAATTTAATTACGAACCTGTGGAAGGAGATGATGTGGTCGAGGCGGTGGTTTCGTGATCTCCCTGTGACGATCTAGCATTCGGCTCTGGGGTCTTTTTTGGTTTTCTCTTTCTCGTTTGTATACCATCTTTTCGCATGGCTAACGGCCTATTGACCCCGTGCAATTTGAAGTATAATCCGCAAGCGTTGCATACTGGCTCACCTTCGTTGTTGCGCCTCCACAAGGTGGTGGTGCGAGTGCCGCAATTCGTGCAGCACAGCCCAAGTCGCCTCGTCGCGGTCTGAAATTCCGACATCTGTCCCATTTGTAACACATGTCAAAACGATTCAAGTTTGGCGAATGCAATTGTTATTATTAAACAGGATGTACTTAGAAGATTTCTACCTCTTTTAAAATATATTTATTAATTAAATTATAAACGTAAAACACCATGTTATTCTTTCACGCCGAAGAAAGACAACTTTTGCAAAGGAAGTATATATATATATATAAGCATATTAAAATTTCATTATAATCATTTGTGGATAAACTTACCAGGCGTTTCGAGGGTTTGATGAGCGGCCTGTTCATGCCGTTCATTTTGTGATAAAGTCCGCATGCATTGCAAAGATAATGGCCAGTGCCGTCTCTTCGCCAAAGCGGCGTCGATATCGCACCGCAGTTCACGCATTCGCGACCCTCACCAAACTGGAAATCCATCGCGGTCTCTGCAACCATTTTCATATTTGTTTAACGATAGTTAATCAAAGTTAATTTAACATTTAAATCAGAAACTAACTAGTCTATATTTTATTAATTGTATTTATTAATTATATTTATTAATTATATTTTTAAAAT